AAACACAAGAGGGATTCCCCAGTGGTCTCCAATTCCAGTGATTGCCGATGCTTCTCGCCACACTTCCTCTCTTGTCTTCTTTGAGGATTCAATTATTTTCATTTCTTTAACAACAACGCGGTATTCATTGCGGTATAGGGCGATGTAGCAGTTCCCGAAGGTTCCGTTTCCAATTTTTTGGCTTTTATCCACTTTCAGCAAAGACCTAGTGATCTCACTAAACGCAAGAGCTTCTGAGTTCTTGCCGATGCTATTTTTTCTGGAGCTAACTTCGATTTGTTTCCGTGAAATTTTTGCGGCCGGCACGTATTTCTCTTCGGTATGACCATTCCGTTTTAACTTCGAATGTGATAAATTGACCATGCCTTGCCTCCGGAAAAAGTATTTGCCTCCGGAGATAGTTTGTTGGCCTCGATCCGTTTCTTGTTTTCGGCCAGTGGTTCTGCCACCTTCTCACTTTCTGGTTCTCGAACCTTTTCATTCTCCTCTCTCTCTTCTGGCATCTTCTGTAGTTGTGGTCCACGAGTCTTCTCATCATTCTTCTCCTCTTGTGGCAACTCCTCTCTTTCTGGTACACGAAAGTTCTCATTCTACAATCCTTCCTCCCATTTTTCCTCTGCCATGCCTTATTTTGCTTTCTTTTCTCTCTTTTTCAATGCACTCTTGAACGACACTTTCCATCCCTTACTCGGAATACTCGCTCTCCTTTTTTGCATAACTCCTCTCGCTCGTGTGAGTCCATGTTTTCGTAGAACAGCTGTACTTAACCCACGTGTCAAAAGTAAATTCCTTTTTCCTTTCCTCACACATTTCCCTCTTAAATGGTTAGAAGTTATTTTATATCAAGCGCTGTATGATCACGTCCTTTATTCTCATAACCTACGTGATTGACAAGGAATTTTACTTGACAAATTTCTAGTTTGCTACAGGAAAATCGACGGCGAGATATTAACGAATCCGTTATAGCTGACAACGACATGGATCTGCGCCTTACGTTTTCACAGAAATGTTGTTCATGTACTGGAAAGTTCAAAACTTTTAGCGCATTTCAAAAGCACGCTGAACGAAAACACACGATGGAAGGTGAGTGGTGTTTTTGGACAACGAGGAGAACGAGGCTTCAGTGCCCGACATTGGATTTCTTAACAGGAGATCGCAAGATTTTAAAATAGGTTATTTATCGTGGCTGGCAGGGCTTACGGAGCAGATAAACGCTTCCCTTAATCCTCGTTTACGTGGTAAGTGGCGAATTTAAACGGCACAAAGCCTAATACCACCTAAGCATTTTGCATCGCTTTTAATTTAGATCTACGCACTTGAATATTCCTCGTTAAAAGCCACCTAAGGTACTACCCAATCATCTTTTCAGTTGTGCGTACAGTCTTTACCCTCAAACTTTGCTATTTTCTTTAGCATTTAGTTTCTCAGTTAAGTAGCAAAGTACTTTGCGCGTCATTTAGCCGATTCTCTCACTGGCACGAGCGCAAGTTACTCGAGTTTCGCTCGTCACACAATGATCCCGGCTACGGGAGAAGAGCGTTGCGTGACGAAACAGAATGAATGAATAAAATCTATATTTTACTTAGAATGTCGGATGATCTCAGAAAGCTTAAACTTACACTCCTCCTGTCAAAAAAATGTGCTGAAGACCCAATTTAATTGTAGCTGGTTTTGTCTACTTTCATTTCTAGGTGGTTTGGTGACTTTACAGTTCCTACAAATTCCTGAAAGGTACTTTGGGCACTTATCTTGTCAAATGGGATGCAGGGTGCATAGTATGAGGCAGGTACCTTATAAGAAGCCTCCATTTTACTGCCCATCAACAAGGCGAGTTTCCTATAAAATGTATAGCCTCACTTCATTTACTGATGCATTGCATGAACAAACCCTTCTTAAACTAAATGATATGGCCTGGTACAGTGACCTACAGGAAGTGGAGACAAGATCTGACCTTAGCCCTCAGGAGGACCTCCAGGCTGCCAAGAACCGTAGTTTTTGGAGCACTGTCAGAAATGAGGAGTCGTCAGGGGATCTATTAACCAAACGTCTAACAGCCAAAGAAAGTTTGGAGGTGGGTTCAAGACAAGGACAGACCACTAGGGAGGTAGAGGTAATCTGGTGGCCAGATCTATACTCCACCACAAGGAATGAAAAACTTTCAATAAGATTCTATATTAAAAAAGTAACTGTTCGAAACTTCTTTTTATGAACAGTTTTTTTTAATTTGCAGTCTTTTCAATATTGATCGAACATTCAGGCAATGGCTTTAAAGTGGACTTCACTTCCCTGAAATATCTGGGAAGTTGTTTCTCTTCCATTTTTTATCTGCAAAGAGCAGTGTTAATCGTCAAACTTCCTTGTTTGACCTGTACAGAGGTTAACTTTGTTTTTTTTATTCTTCTCTGCCTCTTTGAAATGTAAGCTTGACATAGATATCATATTATTCACTAAAGTGTAAGTTGAAAAGAGCATAAAACATTAACCTTGGAAGATTTAGTATCTATGGGAAGGTGTAGTCATTGTTGAAAATAGAACATCAATTTTTTATACCAAAAAAATGCAACTTCTTCATGCAACTTTAGTAAAACCACAAAAGCAAATTTTACCTTATATAGACACTAACTAAACAGACATGCTATTTAAATCTACTAAATAATGTTTTTACCTGTTAAAGGAAATTGAAAAGCCTATTTTATGAATTTCATATGTATTTCAGCGATTTTGTGCTTAATTAGTAGCAATTTAATGTTAGTTGTGCTCAACAAAACAGCTTTTAAATCTGTTCAATCTTTGCTGAAAGTAGGGCATAAAGATTGAAATGATACAGTTTAATGGACACTTACTGGTCTACTCTGTGATTGGTTATTATCGTTTAATACATATGGTGGCTCCTAAAAGAGCCGTTTTTTTGTCACCGGCAGTCAGTGCAATGTCAAACTCCCTGGTTTGACCTGCAGGATTTTTTTTTTCATTCGGTTCTTCATTGGAATTTCAGCTGAACATCAATGCCATGTCTTTTGCCTAAAAACTTAAAAAAGAGCAAACAACATTACTTTTGAGACAATAACTGATGTGAAGGTGTTGTCCTTGGTAAAATTGAAAAAAAGTTAGAATTCAATCTCATTCTTCCTATCATAAGCATCTTATTGAAAGCTTTGAGACAATTAATTCAGTGAAAACTCCGCAGTTTGGGCGTGCCGCCTGTAAACCTTAAGAGGGAGAGGAAACCCTTACAATAATATTGTCAACAGCATTTCCATTCTAACAACAACTATCTTATTGAAAGCTTTTCAAAAAATTTATTCAGCAAAAACTGGGTTCCATCACCTCCGCAGTTTGGGCGTTCCACCTGTAAACCCTAAGAGGGAGAGAAAACCTTGACAATAATATTGTCAAAAGAGTTTTCATTCTTATAACAACTATCTTATTGAAACCTTTCAAAAAATTAATTCAGCAAAAACTGGGTTCCATCACATCCGCAGTTTGGGCGTGCCGCCTGTAAACCTTAACCCTTTAAGTCCCAATGGTGTCCAACATCAATTTTCTCCTAACCATATCCATTGATTGCCAAGAGATTTGGTTATGAGAATTAGTAAATTGATCACCTAAAAGAAAATGCTTTGATCTTTCATCAAATTCTCTCAACTTATTCTTTAAGAAAATGTATAAAGATCAGTTTGGAGAATTTGTATGTGGATATTGGGGCTTAAAGGGTTAAGAGGGAGAGGAAACCCTTACAATAACATTGTCAACAGCATTTCCATTCTAATAACAAGTATCTTATTGAAAGATTTGAAAAAATTTAATTCAGAACAATAATATTGTCAAAACCAGTTTCATTAACAGTTCAAGAACAGTATCTCATGGAAAATTCACGTAAAATAGGTAGACAATCTACAATGGTGATATTTATACCAATTACTTATTTCCATTGTGTAAAACGATAAGAAGTCTCTGGCGATGACTCCCATATCATGAAAACTCCAATGAAAGTACAAGTGGGGAATTCCATTGTCTGCAGGGTTGTCTATGAAATCAAAGACTGCCAAGGTCACACAAATGCCACAACTAGCTCAACCTTCCCCAAATAATGGCTGTTTGGGCACTCCAAACCGCTGAATTGAAAAGGTGATATTCCATTGGGTTTCTGATACAGCCTTCAGCAGATTGTCAGCCAATTCAATGATGTTGGTAGGAGGACTCTGTTTTAAGCCATCATCATAGAATGCTTGGTGCTGTGTTATATTTAGGCACAGGAGACCCCAGTGGTTGCCATTTACGTGGATTGGAGTAAGGGTCCATACAACATCACCAAGATCCATTCTTGAGAGGTAGGGCTTCAACTTTGTTTGTAGAAATTGGACATTTCTGGTTAAAGCCCAGGTTTGTGTAAATGACAGTAGATACAAGGAATGGGAATTTTTTCGCATGGTTTCCTCACTGTACCTCAAACATGCAGCATCAATCAAAAAGCCACTAATGTACCTCTCAGCAGCTAAGGTTGAAAGGTCTTCAGCATCAACCATCACATCACCAATTCTAAGGATTTCTTCTTGAGGTTCACTGTCAAAAAGCAAAGCCCTAATTTCATTAATCTGCTGAGGGGTTAATGTGGTGCTTGTAGTTTTCATCCAATTTTCCTCTTCTTGGACTCTAAACTTAATGGAGGAAGCTTTTGATACTTTCATCCAAATGACTAGAGCTCTGCTGTCAAAGACCCCAAGATCTCCAAACTTGACTGCAGTGTCGAAATCCTCTTCATCACTGTCTTCTCCAGTTGGGCACGCATCCATCAGTCTGTAACCCTTAGAGATTGCTGATTCTGAGGGCCTGACTGGGGACTGCAGAGGATTGTTAAGACACCCAGTATCAACAACCAGCTCAATGTCATCATCTGGAATTTGAATTACAGGCAGAAGATTAAGGGTAGCAAGTTGGCCTCTAGAACAATCATTTGCAGCACAAATTCATAAATCATGAATAGACAAAGGTGCTGATGGTTAAGGAACAAAGGCAGTTTTAGTATCCACTGTGACACTGGACGAAGGTCTGCAACTGGAATTTGAAGGGCTAGTGGCAGGGCTTGATGAGAGGCTTGTGGAAGAGCTGCTGACTGGGTCAGTGTTGCTGAAAGCTGGGCTGCTAGCTGGAATGGATTGTGGACTTTGTGGCTGTTCCAGCAAGGAAGTAAAACTGGTCAAAACTGTAGGAAAGAGCTGCTCCCACAGTGCATGATCATATTGATAGATAGGTAAACAGTCGGGTAATATTACCACTTGTTTTAAACCTTTGTCAAATTCATAAGAAAGAGCATCCTTGCAAAACAGTTTGTTGAACAAGTTATTCATGGTGAAAATCCAGGCCATGTCATCTTTTGACCAAGACACTTCTTTTTTTCTAGACCAACCGCAGCCTCTCAAAATGGAATGGTTTGCCTGACATACAAAAAAAAAAAATTGGCATTGGCAGAATAATGGAACCAGTCACAGTTAAAACAACAACAACAAAAAAAGATTTTAACAGACTGTGTTCAATAAGCTCTAACCTTACTGCAACTTTTTATGTGGTTAGTTTTCTACTGCTCAAGAGGAAGAATGACAACATATTAATGTTATCTCACCACATTCCAGGTAGAAAAAGATAAAGTGCAAAGTGATGTTGTCATTGGATATAGTGTATGCTTTTTATGGGAATCTCAGTTTTTTACATAACGTTGTCTCAACAAGGTAGAATACATTTGACTACACATCTAAGGGACTGACATAAAAAGAAGTTCCATTATATAATGTTTCTAGCTGGCAAACATTTTAGAAGATAATCACCATTTTCCATGCTCTCTGTAGCCATTCTGAAGCAAACCCGCAGGAACAGCAACTTTTCAGAAAAGAAATGTAGCAAAATCTGTTGGACTTAATATAACGAAATAGAGTTGATTATTTAAAAGTGCCAACAACATCAATACCAACAAGAACATGTGATTAACCAGACTTTGCCTTTTTCCCCAATGGATTCTAGTTTTCACACAATAAGATACATAATATTCAAGAACATGTACAGTGTAGCTCCCAAACACTGATACTTTAGTAATATGGTATGCTTAGAACAATGACTTCAATACTAACTGTAAATTGGCATTTAAAACTTCAATAAAGACCTTTAGCATCAGGTTTTTTCATGCATGGGACACTGAAAACAGGTCTCAAATATGAGAACGTCAAGTGATCTTCTGGTCACATTTGCAGTTTACAGTTCAAGTTTGAATGGCAGGAAAGGCTTAGAGCAGTAGGTGACTTACAGCAATGTTTTTGCCACTATAACAATAATATTATTGTTCAGCCTTACATTTAAAAGCACAAAGCAGATTTCTACACCACCCTCTGATGTGCTAGTTATAGCTGGTGATAAACAATGAATGTCTGCCTAAAGTTTAAAATCCAGGCAAAGTGAAACTGCAAATGGGTGACTGCAGACTGCAGTTTACAGTTTGCAGTATCCCATGAAAAACCGATGCTAAAGGTATTTTTAATAGCTATGGATGTTCTCCAACAGGAAATTATTATTGCTAACAATGAAAGCTCTTAAGATTAAAGGATATTCAAAACAAGATTTAAAGTTCAAGGATTTTCCATTGACTCAACTTAGATTCAAGAGCTTTTAAGAGGGCAGCTAAAATTCAAGAGCTTTTCATATCTTTATGAACTCTATGCATCATCTGTGGTAATCACAAAATAATGTGAAAATGACATGATGAGCTTCCTAACCTTTCTGTAAAAAGAGTTGTTAGTTTAATTTTAACAATATTTAAGTAGGTGACAATATTAGTTTCAAGTACTGTAGTGTTGAGATGTATGATAATATAAAAAAATAAAGTAATAAAAAGTAAAATATAAAACTAACTTGATGTAGCATGACCATGCCTGTCATGGGAAGTAGCCTTTGAATATAACTGACACTGTAATGAGTGTGCTGCGCCTCAAAGCCTTGATTTGAATACTCCCTCAAGCTGAGGTGGTTTCTAAACAGCATGCTGGCATGTTCAGTGGTGATGTGGCCATAATCACCAGTGCTCAGGTCGCAGCCAAACACTTAATCCCTTAAAAGGAATCCCAATTTTTGCACTAAAAAAAAAAAAGAGGGCATATTTCCGTGGGTGTTAAACAGTTGTCAAAATCAACATTGCAGACTGTGCAGTTAAACTGACGGCGGGTCTAAAATACAGGTAACTTTTCCACACTGTCAGAGTACAGTTCACCATGATACAGACAAATGAATAGTATTAAAAGTGTTTGCAAGCCCTAAACTCTTAACAAAATGCTCTATTAGATAGAGGGGAATCTGTGTGGTTTGGCAATTCATCTATGGAGCAGTGAAATGTACTTATTACCTGGGGAATGTGACCTGCACTTTGTGAATATCTTAAACATTTTAGGAGAAATAAACATGATTTTACTTTTAAAATAATAATGTATGTGCCTCATTCTATAATCAAACTTGAAGTATTGTTTAAAAGACCAGCCTGAGTGTATTTCCAGGTTCTGATTATACATGACTGCAAATTTTTTGAACAGTGTCAAAATCTCTGATATAGATCTTGCACAAACATTTAGATCTGTTTTTTTTTTAATCTAAAAAATTGGATGTAAAGTTTTGCTGTACCTTTGTCAGATAGACAGTCATTAAGCATTTCTTTCTTTCTTTTTTGTTTTTGAATGTCAGTTAAAGTGACTGGAAATTATTTTTGAATTTCTGGTCATGCAATGGCTTTTAATTGTTGCACGGTCTCTGGTAAAAGATTTACAAGAAAAACCACTACAGCTGTATTTAACCTTCTTGTCTAAATTTATTATTGTAATAGTTTTAGACAGTATGCATATTTTCCATTAAGATCAGGACTTCATTTCCAAATGGTACTTTGGGCAATTCCACATGAGAGGTGAAAAATCAATCATTTTTAAAAGAAGGATATTGGAATTAATTTCTGTGCCATTAAAGAGAAGACACATCACTGTATTAAAAACATACATGTCATTTCTGTTTTCGCCCTTATGCACTCCGCAGGGGTCTACTACTCAATAGGTCATATAAACAAAGAAAACGTGGGACCCACAGGTGCAAGTTAAGGAACAATTTGCCAAAATGTCAAAATCAATCCAGTCCACTGAAACTGAGGTATAATTACAGCATGAGCGTTTTTTTCACACGAGAAAAAAATTTGATAGTTTTCGACAATTTTTCCCCATTTTTGGCTAGTAGAAAATATCTAAGTAGATGAGTAATGTCCGTAACAAAATTTCACTTCTTTCTTTGTGTCACTTTAAACCTTTTTTTCAATGTTTTGCTGTTTTGGAACAGCAAATGGGCCAGCACTCTCTAGGGTGACGGGGCCATAAAACACACAAGAGATGTGAACATCATCAACATCATCCCGGCTGGGCCAGTCAAAACTCTTTGCACCCACTCGATGGAGGAACTTGAATCTTACAAAGCTATCAGCTTGACTTTGTGCATGTCCAATGTAGTAAGTTTCCACATATTCAACAGCATAATACTGCTCAGCTGGTAGGATGCCTTCTGGTGGGATTGGGTGTAGCTTTCTTTGATGCAATTCCAACAGCATGAGTTTCCTGAAATCCGAGATGCTGGCATCACTGATCATCTCACCATAACCAACCAAGCATCTTGCATACAAGCAAGTGAACACTCCACAGTCATAGGCATTGGTCGGTTCAGGAACATCTCCCTTTTTGTTCACTATAAGCTTGCACTGATTCAGGTCTACATTGCTGTTGATCTCTTTGAGAAGGCCACACATCTTAGAAATAGCATCAAGACTTGTATGTTTAATGTGGTTACTTGGCATACTGTCTAAGACAACAACAGATTTCTCCTTTGGCAGAACTGCTAGAAGAGTCCAGTGCTCAGACTCTGGGGTATTGCATGGCACAAGGACTACATCCTGAAGCAGAAGTGGATTTCTCCCTTTCAACAAGTGATGCACTGGTAGTGAACCAACTGCTCTCTCAAACAATTCCCATGGCAAGGTTTCAACTGCCAAACTGTTGTTAGCTGCACAAGTCACTTGAATAAGCCTCAGGTATTCATCAATAATAAAGTTGGACAACCATTTATCTTGGATTTTCTTCCCCCTGCCATTAAACCATTAAGATCATCATTTTGAATCAAACCACCTCCTTCAAAGCTAATCCAGCCATCAGAAACTGCATTTACTTGGCAGTCTAAATGATGTGGAAGGCTGAACAAAGCACATCCTTTGAATATATCGGTGATAGTAGCTTGTCAGGAAGGCCCTGCTGAACTTGGATATCTTTCTTCTCTGACATCTCTTCCTCGTCACTTGAACTTTTATTTGCATTGCTGGCTCTTTCTTTCGCATCTGGACCACCTGAACCTTTGTTTCTTGTCACACCTTCTTCTTCACTCGAGTCACCCTCTTCATCATGATTTTTACTGTCTTCCTTACTGCTCTCACTTGAAACTTCTTTGTACGTGTGATGGCTGTTTCTTGAAGCACTGCTGAAAAAGTCTCCTTTCTCTCCACTGGTCTCGTCTTCATCAGCACTGCTGGTACTGTTGCTTCCCTTGCTTAGAGAGGAAGAGTCTTGATCATCACTATCATTTTGATCCAGGTCTTCATTTTCTGAACCAGACAACTGGACACCCATTTCAATCCAGGTACTCTGGTAAGAGAAAGTACGGCAACGAATAAGACCATTCCTGAGTGGTTCTAAGCTGTGAAATTTGGCAATACCTGGGATTACTGGTTCAACAGAGAAGAATTTCTTTAATCCAAGTAAGTCTGCAGTAGCTTCTAATTCTTTAGATCCAACAAAGGTCACCGCAACAGGTGTGCTCAACTTAGTATTTGCAACACTTGCAAGAGAGCAAGCATCTTTGACTGCTTCCACCTTTCTTGTGGATACAGCATTCCAAACCATGCGCTTCACAGTTCCCCCGATACCATAAACAGCCCCTTTCCCATGTGATGTGGCAAAGTAGTTCCACTGGATGTTAAGACCTTGACCTTGAAGTAAATGGAGAAAATGGGCACTGTACCTTTTCTTGAACTACGTGCTTGGTCCATCTGAAAATATCCAAACTCAAGTTATGTCTGGGTGTCTCACCTTCACAAGGTCGTTGACAACTTTGCACATGAACACGGCAACAGATGTTTTGTCATGCTTCAAATCATCTGAAACAATGACGTGAGATTCACAACAGCTGTTTTTGTCTCCAGACTTTGTCCAGATTGCAACAGTGAACTGGGTAACTAGGTCTTGGCTCCAGTGTGCTGACTGAACTTCTCCCTGGTACTTGCAGCTGAAATTTTCAGCAAAATCAACTTGCACCACTGCCTCTTCCTCTGTCAGATGTTCTATCTTCTCTTTGAAAATTCTTGCCTGTTGTCGCTTTACAAACACATGTTCTAAGAATGATGGCAGCTGAACTTCTAGATCTTCCAGTAAATCATCAACAGTACCCTCTTTCAGAACTTTCTGAATTTTCGTTACCCTTTTCATGCTTTTTCCTTTCTTTGCCTGCACCATTTGTTCCACATGCTCCCACTGATACCATGTTGCATGCTCATCAAGGTTTCCTGAACTTGACCTTATTTTTTGCAACAAGCTGGGGCATTTTGCACACTTTTTACATTTGCCAAGCATGCAAAGTTCTGACTCAGGGTTGCAAACAAAATTTTCTGCAAAACTTCCTGAGTACAGTGGAAAATCATCTATTTCCTTATGCAGGCTCTCACAAAGCATTTTGACAAACATCTCTAGGCATGTCAGCAGAAAGCAAGACATTCACTGGCCTTAAGGAGCAAAACTTATTAAGGCCAATCTCAGTGGTGGGGTTTTCTTTCATGAATATGCTATAACATTCCCTTAGGGACCACAACAAGTGCCTTTTCTGGATATGATGTTTTGTGTTGTTTTCCTGAACAGCGACAAAGTCTTTTCTGCCTAGTGCTTGGCGAGAGATGGAGTCAAGCTGAAAGAAAACTTTAACAAGATTTACCGTCTCTTTTGGAAGACCCCTGTTACCTCTAGTGCACTTCTTTTTCCTAAGAAAACCTGAAGCATGTGCTAGTTTGAAAACCACAGCCTTTCGTTTTCTGGGGCTTTGGGGAAGCACTCTGCTGCTGACCTTACCAAGAGCCTTTCCTAGAGCTTGAGGTGTTTGGTAAGCTTGTGATACATCTTGGTCTTGGGAAGAGTTTTTTGCTTTCTTCTCTTTTTGTCTTTGCCTACATTTTCTGACTCTTTCACGGGTGAGTTTCTTCCTTCTTGCAACTTCACTTGGACTAAGGGCTTGACCTTTTCTTTGCACTCTTTTCCTTTCTTTGTCTTTGTTCTTATAGGCCTTATACCTCTCAACATCTACTTTGAGTCTTGTTCTAAAAGTTCTGGCCCTTTCAGCCCCTGTTTTGACATTTTTTTTTAGAAAAGACAACCATCTTGTTTATGTAACTTTCAGAGTACAATGAGATGTCATAATTTGATTAAAACTACTGGTCAGTGGTTTTCTTTCAAAGAATGTTCAGAGCATGCTCTGAAAAGGAATGCGCTGACCAGCTATAATTACAAAACAGCTTTTGTGTGCTTTTGTTTTCATTTAATTTTCAGGGCTTCTAGACATTGCTGATGGTAAACTTAACACATAAAAATAAATGAAATAAGCAATTTTTTTAGCATCATAGTACACATAATATTATTTTTAAGAAAAAATTCACAGACAGTAATGTCCGTAACACTTGGTGTAATGTGCATAACACAGCCTTTTAGGGAACCAAAGCAGTTAAGATAGACCTCAGAGAAATTTAATGTGACTGAAGAAAACTTTGAGCATTTGCCAATAAAAAATTTGCATTAAATTGCTGTTTTTGCACAATAAAAAAATACTCAGAGAACAAATTTTTAGCTCCCTCTGAATTTGACTGAAAGGCCTGTTACAGACATTACAGCTAAAACAACCGTCAATTTTAATCACGACTTTTAAGGCTCAGTTCCTGTGATTCATGAAACATTTCAAGGAAACAAATTATACTGCATATTGTGAACAGGACAGGAGATCAAAGTTAAAAAATGCTCTCTGAGTGTAATGTCCGTAACTGTGGAATTGCCCCTTTACACTCTTACTAAAAGTGAAATACCTGACACATACCTGTTAATGTCAACAATGTCAATTAAATCTTGCTAATCTTCCTCGAAGACAGTACTTCTAATAACTTCAGAAATGTCTTTTCTGTCGGTGTAAACCTGAAATCAAAATGAATAATAACGAAAAGCCCAAATCACGATCTGAAATGAGGTGTTTTAAGTTAAGGGGAAACTGCATGCCTATCTCAGTTTTTTTATAAGAGCATGTAGTCAGACCTTCCCTTGTGACCTGTGTTTTGTAACTGCCACTTGTTAAATTAAAGTTAAGAATTTTGTTCAAAAAAGCAAAATCAACTTGACTAGTTTTAACTTAACGTGTCTGGATTTTGCCCCATATCTTACTTCTCATAAAACTGTTCAATGTGTCTACCAATTAAGTAAAAAAAGACTTGATTATTTGATTACCTTTAAAAAAAATTGGTAGAACACTTCTGCTGCATAATCAGATAGCTGAGAAAGATCAGCATTGTCCACCTTCTGCCTTTTCTTTCCTCGTTTCCCTTTAGCGACCGACCCACCAACACACTTTTCTGACAGCTCCACAAATCTTTCCTTGATTTATGTAGTCTTCCCTGCCAGAATTCCAGTCTTCTTTGAACTTCTTTTCCAGCTTCTAAGGAAAACAGGTTAGGTAGTCACATCACGAAGTGTAAGGGGGTATTCTTTTTAAGGGAGGACTGTTATGCAAGAACACAAACCACTGGGTGTGCTGTACATGCTAAGGAACATTCACTCAGTTGGGATGCAGTAATCTGATGCAATAATGATGTACCCTTGATACACAATGGTCACGTCATGGGGTTGTATTAATACTAACAGTGCTAGCTAGCCTATCACAACTTCCAGTGTAGATGGACGTAAATGCAGTCATTAATTCAAACTGTCTGGTTTATCACAGTCAAAGGGAAGGAGAGGTTTTAAATAACGGTATAATGACTTTAACATGTACCTGAACCTGTGAGGGTAATAGTCTCCTGCTTTGAACCAAAGTCTGTGGTGAATGTCTTAAATAGCCATGTCCTGATAGTACTAAAACAAATTATTAAAAATTCATTGAATATCTTAAACAGAAACCATTTTTTCAGTGCAGGTTTCTACATACTACACACAAAAAAAATTATTGTGTGTTGCACTGGTTTAAGTGAAACATTCAAATCATGTGGTATCCTGAGCCATATACCTTGATTCTATCATTACAAAATGTGACTTTATTCAGGAGCAAGTCTTTAACACTTTCTGGATCAGCAAAATATGACTTCAATAATTTGTCATGAGGCAAGGAGTTCCTGACAATTGCTTCAATGTTTGTGAGGAACTCACATTCAGTAGAACCTTCAGGAAAAATAGTACAGAAAGAAACAAACAGGATTTAAATTCACAACTTAGTGACATCTTCATTACAAACCAGTGTTACAGTTTACATATTAAGGATCAAGGTATTGTACAAATGAAACTCATGCCGCTGCTACATGTACAGCACGGAAGTATAAAAGCCCTGAAGAGGATAAAACGAATGAAAGCAATCATGATAAAAATGAAACAAGACAGAAGGTACCTTAAAATGAACACACCTGGATGTTGTGCTTTTCAACAGCAATTTCTTGACCCTCCTTCATCTTCACCATTATTTTGTTGCCAAAATTCTGAGGGCCATAATCTGCCAATTAGGCATTACATTCATCACGTGAACCCACTTCGTACGAAAACAAACCCAATGATGACAACAGCTGTTCAGTATTTCTAAGTTCGCACTGAAGGGCGCAGAGATTAATAGACAATAAATCCTCTTCAAGAAGGAACGCTAAGTCATCAAGGATGCCTTTGAAACTAGAAAAAAGAACATTCATTATTCTGTTAGTTGTGGGGGATATCTCCCCTGAAGTGGCTCTTAACAGTTTTATATATTTCAAACTCAAGTATTTTACTCGACAGGTTTTCAGTCTTTTATGACAGTGCCCCTACAACATTGACACACCTACAGTAAAGGAAGACTGTGATATATTATTATGGGAAAATAATATGTGTTCTCTAGGAAAACAAGACACGGATAATTGCCAACATTTTATAGACAGGGGAATTAAACACCATGTTTGTCCAAAAAAAGCTTTTTGTTTTCTTTTCCATGCAGTGGAACTTCCCCTTTTACAAAAGGCAAGGCTTAATTTACAAAATATTATTGCTAAAATGAGGTCTATATAAAAAGTTAGTCTTTTGTAGAAAACATACTTATTAAGCTATAAACGCTGGGATGAAGAGATTCACTCACTATACCAGGGAATTTAATTTTTTGAATAGAGGTTAACTGTATTGAGATAACCTTGTTTTGAATGCCTTTTATAATTAGAAGTTACTATGACTTCAAAACGACAACTACAAATGCTGAAATTCATGAATAATCAAGGGCTGCATGCCTCAACAAGTATCATCAGAGAATTCTTAGTAAGCCAAAACTATAACTAAATTACCCTCCAATATTGGCCTTGGACATGCGAAAGTGTTCCAAACAAACTGTATGCGGACCAAGATCGCAAAAAAATTTTACATTCCTAATAAAGCAACAATAAAAATAGCCACTATTCATCACTAGTTTTTACTAAGAAATTTTACCCAGCGAAACTGAAAATCTAATAGTACTATATTGGTAAGTTGGTCATTGGTAAGGTCAAAACCTGCATAGTAGAATTTTTTGACTCAGAGATTTTGAATATATCCACATACCCTCAATGCTTTGCAGATAAAGCAACACTCTACTTCAGTTCCTCGTTTCCCAAGCTGAAAGATTGCTTTCCCTGTTTGTTCCAGCAAAAGATAGAGGGCCTGCAGGTCAAGTACAACTGTACAGCTGTAGATATATATTTTTAAAAAGACGTCAATGTACATGCAGGCATTTGGATTGAAAATTATGGTACTAAAAAATACGTTATTAATTATTATGTGAAACTTACCTTTAAATCTCACAGCATAATGCACTCCATCCACTGTGATTCCATTCTTCTTTAGCGCATCCTTTTGTTTGTTGACATTAACAATCAGCTTTTTTAGGTTTTCCCTATAAAAAGAAAACATAAGGTCAGGTTTGAGTGGCCCACTAATAAATTAAGACCTTTGTGGTAAAATTTTCAAAAATGATCGTTTATTGGGGCCTTTAGGCCTCATATAATAAATTTGTTGTAAATCCACAAATTTTTTCAGCTTGCATGTATAACTTTGGTCGACAACCAAAAATTACACGGTCAAAAAGGTACAATAAAAATTTTCACTAACAAAACTAGTTACTTTGGAAACAAATAACTATTTTACTAATGAATGAAATTTAAATACAACATACCTGTCTTCCTTACAATTAGCAATAGCTAAAGGGCACACTGATTTGCAGCTCTGATTAGACAGGAATGGTGTGTCTTTGGGGACTACACCCATTAGGACCTGACTGTGCCCTACAAATGAGAGGAAACAAAAAAAAAGGCATTTCAAAAATTTAAGCACCACTTCATGACCTAGAGTTCAAAGTGTTTGGTTATGTTTATCCTGCCATTTTGATGTCACCCCCCCCCCCCACCCCCCGCTCCCTCTCAAACTTAATACAGACACCTGTATTTAACGGATTTGTCACAACAAAAAGCTCAACCATTTTCTCTAAAAGTTACTCCCTAATACAGACAACAATAATATGGACAACAAGTTTTAAACTCCCATATATTATATACCCTGCTTTACATTATTTTATCTCTGCACTGTCTCTGACTGAATATCTTTCACGTGAAAATTATGGTTAAGGAACGGTAAATGTTTAAAAATACTGGCAAAAAAGGTTATTTCAGTCCAAGACTATACCCATGATAAAAGATCACAGGGTTTCGTTAGGATGAACTTGTTTCAGTTACGGTTAAGAAATAATTTGGACACTATTGTATGTCCCTTGGTGTCATAATTTTTAACCCATGATTTTGTTTCTATGTTTTTCTTTCTTAAGTGCAACAGAGTTGTTGCAAAATACAATAAAGGAATCTGGAAATAAGGTACACTGTATTTACTAAAGATTGTGTTCTCACCTACAAATGACCTACCATCAAGTTTGAGGCTTAGGTCAATTATTTCTTTCTGCACACCATGAAATCTCAACTCCCTGATAATCCATGTTAAGGCACTTTCAAGAGAAACTTCATAACCAGGAAAATCTTGTATTTGGGTGATGTCAAAGAGGCTTCGAACTTTATGAAACACCACAGACCGAAGTGACTTTATGCTGCTTTTGGAAAGCAAGATCGGAGTGTCTGATGAGTTCTAAAAGAAAAGAAAAAAAAGATCAAAGGTACTGACACAGTACCCCTGTCTCCCCCCACAGAAAAAGCCAATTTTTCTTACACCCCTCAGAAATATTCCAAAGATCAAAGTTGCCGTCACAGTCAATCCCCTCGGAAATTACTTTGAAAGCCCCTCTCCCCAACAGAAAATCTTGTCCCTAGTGGGGGGACTGGGAGTGGATATTTGAATGGAATAGACCAAAATTCATTTATGGTTAGGGGGATTACTAACTTGATAGTTCTAGTAAGCTTAAAGAAAACAACAGCAACAGCAACAACACAAATAATAGTTGGTGGTTAACTCACCCTGCTTTTTCCAAGTCGAGTCCGATTTAAGATCATCTGCCAGGAATCGTCAGATATTGTTGACTCCAGCTTACAAAGAAGCAACATCCAATCTGGCACAGACATCATTTGTACACGCTGGTTCCACAGCTCCTCAGGTACGAGCTTGCAGAATGCCTTTCAAACTCCCAGCTCATTCGCTACTTCACTTAGCACATGCCAAATGAGCTCCCGCCCATTGATCCCATTGAACATTTTCTTACGCTGAAACAGGCAGCTTTGTGCAACAAAAGGTTTCTCCCTTCTCTAAACATACAGATTCGACGCTTCCCATTACAGCTTCCACTTTTTGTCTGATCTTTCTCTTCTTATACGCAGAGCCAAACTTTTCATTTACTAATGAAGAAATTGACGATACACAACCGACAGATTGTCAGGAGTCATCACAGGAACTTGAAGAAGACGTGTCAACATGGTCAACAGGGATTTCAAATTTTTGCGGGCTTTGTCTTCGTGGAGTGGAGCATTTTGGCGGGCTTCCCGGAAAGCTGCTTTGTAAAGATAATTTCTCCCCTTTCAATTCTTGGGGAATTTCTCCTTCATCACTTTTAAAATCTCTGTCTGACACGCAGCATAAATCCTGAGTGGGCCTGTGATCGATTTCCGATTCTTTCAAAATATGCTCATTGATGGTCTGCTTCAGCGACAAGAAGGCTTCAGATCGAAGAAATTCAGATTCTGACGGGTTCCTAAGGACTTAATTACAGGCAACTATTGCAAATGTACTTCCAATGTAACCTTGATCAGAAGATTATTGCCCATTTAGCTTATTGAACCAGTGGCTTGAGACAAGGCAGCCATTTTCATTGTGCAGATCAGCAAAATTAGCACGAAGAAATTCATCGGGAAATAGCTGAA